CAAATAGAGCAAGTGAATATCCTCCCCCCAAATAGGGCAAGTGAATATCCTCCTCCCCCCAAATAGAGCAAGTTAAGATCCTCCACCCCAAATAGACCAAGTTAACATCCTCTCCCCCCCAAATACACCAAGTTAACATCCTCCCCTCCCCCCCCCCCAAATAGAGCAAGTTAACATCCTCCCCCCCCCAAATAGACCAAGTTAAGATCCTCCACCACAGCGTTCACTTTAATTTAAATCTACTTAGCGCTGCATGTAAAATGCTCCATTGTGATTGGCTGAAACTTCGAACTCAGGACCAAGTTAACATCCTCCCCCCTCAAAGGATTTGGGGGGGGGGGGGGTGGGGGTGAGGATGTTAACTTGGTTTTACTCACTTTGTGGATTGACCTTTTCGACCAAATTCAGGTATTTTTCAACTTCCTTCATCAAACAAATGTGCTCGACATTTTGATCGACCCAGGCGAAATATGCAAAATATGTTTCGACCGTCTCGACCGAATTGGGGCTTTCATTTAATATGAGTTATCCAGAATTGAAAGTTATAAACTAGACTTTTTGGATAAGTTCTCACGGAAGTCATTTGAACGAGTTTTTTAGAATCATTTGTAATGTAAATACTTTGTAGGGATAAACTACTTTTTGCAAAAAATTTCTGTTTTGTATGAATTTTCTGTTTTTTTTAAAATTTGAATCAAAAACTTAGATACAAAATGATTGATATTTATAGGAAATTTTACCATGATAGTTTACCATGGTAGAACCCGGTATTATGCAAACGGTGAAGTCCCATTTGTACCAAGGTTCATTTGTACCAAAATGAAAAACCGATTTCAATTGTACCAAAATTAATCAAATCGATTTCTGATCGGTCGAATTGTGAGACAACAAATTATTTCAGTAATTTTCTACTGATCAAACAGAAGAAAATTAAACAGCAGAATGGTGACCGCCGCAATCGCGCCAAAGTGTTGCGAGCTTGCCATCAGAAGGTAGATTCTATACAAAACTTAGAGCCAGTTATCGCCGCAAAGCGGCGATGCGCACGTAGCGCCCCATCGGAGACCTTGAACCAAGAGCTGAAAATAGTCGGCTTAGAATTCTTTTGCCAATTGAATGTTTTTGGTACTAACGCGATCGATTTTTTATTTTGGTACAAATGGGTTTGATTTATCATTTTGGTATTTGTGAATACCCGACGATTCATGCTTATCACTACCTTAAAATAGTTACATATCAACATCTCTGTTGACTTTTACTTTTGTTTTCATACTCGCAAACCGGTGGAATCCCTCATACGCGAAGGACCGAATGCGCGAAAGTAAAAATCAGCCAATCAGATTTCAATAACCTAAAATTTGGAAAGAACGTAAACATTTCCAGGGTCTGAATATTGATATTGGCCGAATAGAGAAACGGCAGAAATATGCAAAATTTTCAAATTGTCACTGACCGCCGCCGAATTGGAAATTTTATATTACACGGGTTTCGTTATGAAAGAAGCAATTTATTGCTTCATTTAATTCATTTTAATTGAATGGCAATTGCTTCTTTTTAAAAATTGGTTTTCGACTTTTTTTTCGGTCTTTCGTCCACGAATTTTTTCGCCCATTCGGTTCTTCGCGCATGAGATTCGCCCCCTCGCAAACCCTCCTTTTTCAATACAAAGCAACACTAACAAATATCATAATGAATGGTATATGAGCAGAATGGATCTAAAAGCAGAAAAACAAACAAATTTCAATTTTACAAGCTAATCGGTAAATTAATTATAAGAATTGTCATTAATACCAAGCAAAGGAATATTACCAAGCAAACGAAAAATTTGAGTAATTTAATCAAGATTTTTTTTTAAATTCAACCAAAAAATTAAATGATTTTATACAATTCAAGCATAATTTATTTATTTTCTTGGTTTTTTTACTATTCTAATAACTGTTTTTTCAATTAGTCCGTATAAACTAATAAAAGTTGACATTTTTCTGTTTTTCTGCCCTTGGACCCATTCTGCACTTGTACCATTCTGCTTTTTGACCCGCCTCCCATTTGTTTGCTCGCTTCCCGTATTAATCATGATATTGTAAAAGCTACAGGGGGTGAATATGTCCTTGAAATATCAAATTGGGCGAAACTTTTATCACTAAGAGTTTGAATTTTCCGGCACAGAATCAGCTTTTTCGGCGATTTGGAATTTTTCAGCGGTACCTCGAGATATAAAACTGGAAAGACCCCACGTTTGGTTGAGTTGGCATACTCTGGCCCAGTAGCGTATTTAGGGGGGGGGGACGCCTCCTCTCTCAGGGATTCGACCCTCTGCCGACCCCTTTGTACTATTTTGAGATATCCATTTTTGGTGACAACTGAGTTTAATACTGACCAATGACACAAAAAAACAGGTTGCACATATATTAACTTTTCCAACATTGTCAGACTAGAGACATTTTGGAGGAAATGTTTTCTTAGATAATGATGTAAAAAGTTTGAAAAAAATACACAATTATTGAATCTGTACGGATGGACTGTGCATGCTATAAATCATTTTCTATTAGTTTTGACTTCGGTTCAGTGCAAAAACTATTTAGCGAATAGGAATTTCTTCTGATTCTGATTGGTTGAATATTTTCCATCATTTGGTCCCGCCATTATGAGAATAATTTCTGCAGTTTTTCTTCGATCTTATTTCGCTCGTTTGATTTTTTTTTTGGCTGAAGAGATGCGCTTCTATTTTTTGTGAACAGGGTTCTAACTTTGAGTTTTCAACCAATCAGAATCGGTTATTTTACACGAGTAAATGTTAGATCTTTATTTGGTATATTCGAAGGAAAGCTGTTATTTAAGGCAAATCAATTAGCAGAATGAATAAAAATAGAAGATTCCAAGAAAAGAAACAGAAAAAATTTTTTCGCCATCCAGAATGCAGCAAAATTAGAGTTTTCAATACAAAGTTCTAGTCCTAATTTACTGTATTTTTATTGGGGTGAAGATTCTTGAGAAGAAACCTTAAAGAGGAGAGGGAGAATGATTACGTAGATCTGAAATTTATAATGATTATTTCATCCATTAGCATATATAAATAAAAAACTTGTCTTAGAACAATAAAAATTTTTTGATCTTAGACCATTTCTGCTTTTAAACCATTCTGTTCATTGACTGGCCACCGATATATGCTGTGTTCTCAATGGGTGCCGGACATCAAGCCGACGGGACTTCAAGCCGAATCGTAAAATTAGGGACTTCAAGCCGAATAGTTCCTTATAAACTCGTGAAGTATGAATACCCGGGTTGACCTCCATACACCGAAAATGCTTATCATACAATTCCATACATCAAGTGTGTGGGAAAATGCTTGTCATACAATTTTCATACAATTTCTAAAAATGGTTGAAAACTGGTATAAACTTATTTCTGTGGCTGTTTGATTCTAATAAAACAGTCTGGTGATAAAAAACTGAGGTTTCCGTTTTTTGAAAAAAATGCTTATTTTGATGGCGACACAAAAGTAATTTTGAAAATTTGGCCCAAAAATTTTTTTGTTTTTTTTTCAACCGCAAATCGATTTTCGTACGCAAACAAACATTTTTCGAAAAATAAAAATTTTGCATGCAAAATTTAATATTTTGTATGCATAACGTAGTCCTGGATACGATAAAATTGGCTTTTATTTTCTTTTCACTTGATTTTTTTTTCTTCAAAAACGCTGAAAATTCCTCTTTCTTTTGTATGGGGTGTTAATGTACGCCTTGATCAATGTATGATAATTTGAAAATTCAAAAATTTAAATGTGAAAGACAGCCAAATTCAGGTAGTTTTCTATACATTATAAATGCAAGACCGTCCAACCTTTGGTGCTTTGAGTAACCAAGGTCTTTGTCACTTGTGTTCGGTTGCAACTACAACCGAAAATTTTTCAGAAAATAAATTTAGAAAGAAAAAATCAAAATTTTTGGTTTATGGGAAATCACCTATCATACAATTTTCATAAATGGAAAAATGATTATCATAGAGTTTTCATACAATTTTCTGTACGTATGGAATTGTATGAAATTGTATGACAAGAAGTTTCTCATATATGGAAATTGTATGATAAGAAGTTTTGGTCAACCCGGGTAATTTGAAAATTTTTTTGAAGAATTTCTGAATTTCTGATCTTTCTTCACAAGTTATTGGCGTTTTCATAAAATTTAAGCCTCCAAATGATGTTTCGGAAAGTTGAAAAGTAAAACACGGTTGAAGGAATTTTTCATGTTTATAATTTATGCATTTCAAAAACCGGCTGATGTTTTTAACGGATGCCAATCACAAGTGGTGCATTGTCATGAATAACGTTTATTATGGACTGAACTTGCCAAAATTTTTGAAAAACAACGTTTTACAGATGATAAAATAGTGTTTGGAGGTGCTTGTAAAGTTTTAATTTCGGCTTGAAGTCCCTTCGGCTTAAAGTCTCGTCGGCTTCTTGTCCTAGACCCGTTCTCAATACGTCAATATGTTTTAGATCTCACATATTGTGTGTGTTTTCACCAGCTGATTTAGGGAGGGGGTGAAGGGATTTTGCCCTATTTTACTCTTTTGAGATATTCATTTTTGGCTGAGTGACCCTGAAAATTTTCCAAAAGAGTCTTCGGAGCCAATACATGCTAATTTTGAGGGGAAGCGCACGCCGAAAACGCAGTTGTTTGGTCAAAATTTTCCAAAAAATGCCTAAAAACGCCATTTTTGGCCTGATTTTTTTAAAAATTTGGGTCTTCATAGCCTTATCTTCTAAGAGCGCTCGGAAAAACTATTTGGTATATTTAAAAAAAATGGACAAAATATTCAAACTTTTTGAAAATCTGCATCCGCCAACCCCCCACCCCCCCCCCCCCCCTCGAGCGAAAAAATCCGCCCCTGGGTGTTTTGATTAACGGTAAAGTATCTTCTATTAGTTGTATCTTTTCACAAAATTGTTTCAATTTTTGCAGGATACTTATTCAAGCAAAACATTCGCTTATATTTCTCACCTCTTGATTGAGAATATTCTTCCAAGCATTCGGCAGCTATTCGCTTTTTGGGGTGCAGCTTACGTTTTATCTCTTCATGAGTCTCTTGTTCTTTTTTAGACGGGGGTTTGCGAAGTATTTTGTAAAGAATCTTCAAGAATAGATTATTCGAAGACTGCAGATCAGAAGAAGAAAGCTAAACAAAAGCATTAACTTCAAATATAAAAAGGGTTAAAAAATGTATAAAAATGTATAAATGTAAAAAATATAAAAATTTCAAAAAAATGTATAATTGTTTTGCGCTTCCCAAATAGTCTGTCAAGCAGTAGCGGTTTAGGGAAGAGGGGAGCGGGGGGGGGGGGGGGGGACGCTCATTCCTCAGTCCCCCTTTTGTACTATTTTCAGATATCCATTTTTGGCTGACTGACCTTAAAGTTTTTCTAAGGGCGCCTTCGGCTCCAATCTATAGTAATTTTAGGGGGAGCGCGCGCCGAAAAAAACCAATTGTTCGTCGAAGTGTTCCAAAAAGTGCCCTAAAACGCCTTTTCTGGACTGTTTTTTTTCCAGAAATCATCACCCCCACCTCCCTTCGAGAAATTGCTAGATTCGCGCCTGCTGTCAAGATAAAATGAGTGGAACCAGCTCTAAACTAGTATTTATAAACCAATTATATTTATAACTAACCGATCATATTCCATCTCTAACATTAACACTTATTTGTAAGTGCTGAAACTACTTGTAGTTTCAGCACCAGAGCAATTAAAATAAAATTTTGAATAGTTGTTCTCCTTCTAGATAAACTCCAAGAACTAACTCGCATAAAATAGTATACACTAGATCTATTGAGACTAGGAGTGAAAAGAGTAAGATTAAGATTTATTAGACTAAGAATTTGCACGAATCTATCCGACCGAAACTAAGAAAGCGCGACGAACAGACGGTGTACCTTATCTGAAATTACTCTATGAATATAACCAATAGCTCATAACTCATGAGTTCAACGAAAACCAACATCTTGAATTTTTTTAATTCAAAGAATGGCCATTTTTGTATTTTCTTAGAAAAATTCTGAAATTTTTGAAACGCAAAGAGGATAATTATTAGAATTCAAATGCTTTAGTACGACAGAAAACGGAACAAATTTTTGTATTTGGAGTGCTTTATGCAGTAAACTTAAATTTTCATTTACTGCCATGAAAATTATTTGAAGAAAAAATCCTTCAACAACCTTACTGGTGCTAAACCTACTATCTATACAAAAACGACTGAGAAAACGAACACAAGTCGTTCCTCTCAAAAATCTGCAGTAAATCAAATTTTTTAATAAATAGTTTAATAAAAACAAAATACAAAAATTAGTTAGTACAAAAACCATTGTTACTTCTTAAAATAACTGATTTTTCTCATCCGAGCTTCATCACCCATCGCAAAAGCATTACATCATCCGAATCCTCCAACCCAGCATCCACAACTGAAGAAACCCGAGCCCACCGAGTATTTAAACGAAAACATCCCAAAACCCCAATGCCTCCCAACCTTCGACCTCCTCAAACTTTTTCCGTTCACCCACTTCACACTAACATAAAAGAAATCCTACAAATGTGCTTGCCGTTTTTTCCACAATACCCTTACTATCAAACTACTAACAACGATCAACGAAATGATGTTGGCAAACATGCCTTGTTTCTCACACTTTCATGGACCTCATATTACCATTTCACCAACCCAATATCACTCCCATTATATAATAACCAAGAAGACAATGAATTGTGTCCCACTCGACTACATCACCTAACCACAGCACTTCATGAAAACAATTCACAACTATCGGACTAACCCAAACACTAAATAGGTTTGTTGTAAAAACGTCAAACCAATTTTCCATCATCCACTATGATCACGCTATTTCACGTTATATGGAAGATACCATTTTAGAATACAATACTATCGCTAACACCAAACTAACTGAAATTTTTTAAAATAGAATCTCAATATGTATTTGTCATTAACTGCATGACTAAAAAACATGCTCATATTATATCCACAGCACTTTGCGACACAAAAGTCTACAATTCTCATTTTAATAAGTTTAACCATTTCTCACTAACTTTCAATTTCCTAGCACCAAAAGAACGCGACCTACACTGCTCACATCAAATAAAGTTACGCACAAAACAAACTCAAACGTACACTTATTATAAATTTATCCAACACCACTACACAACTAATACACCATCACGAAACGCACAACATCGATTTCATTTCATTAACTAAATTAAATATACTTCACCCTTCTTCTTAAATTTCACATATTTGCCAACAATGACCCTTAGCAGGATTTTTGCCAACAATGACCCTTAGTAAGTAAAATTAAGTGTTTTTAACTAATACATTCCAAAGACAACTGAGCATTTCTTATAAGTGTTTCACTTTTCATTTTAATTTTCATCACCCAATCATCTTAAACAAATAAAAATAAAAAAAAATTGAAAGTTTTTTTTCTAGAATTTTGAAATTTATTTTAACGAATTGCAGTATATAATCATAAGCAGTAAGATTTACGTCCAAAAACAGTAAATTTATAAGACTGTTCCTCCAAAGCAATAAAATTCCTTTCTACCAAGCAGTAATTTCATTAAATAAAGCTCCCAAAGCAGTAAAATTAATATTTCAATGTAGTAAATTCATAAAAAAGATTGCAGATAAAATAAAGAGTACTAATCTTTATACAAAACGCTTTTTTAAATAAATTTGAGTCAATCACTCGCCCATAAATCACATACTCTTTCCACAATCACACAGGGCGCCCACGAAGAAATGTTTAAATAATGAATTTTAAGTTTCAACTTTCACTGATAACAACTCTAACTAAATTTCACATGTTTTAAACTTTTCTCCAACACGGTTGGAAGGAATTCTATTGTAAACTGAAATGACCAACGCAGCTTACTAACGACACAAAACAACGAACTAAAAGCATGACTAAGAAAGAAAAACCCGCGGTACCCAAATCAGATTAAAACCAGACTAAAACCGGATAAATTGTTTTTTTTTGAAAACCACTTTCAAGTTTTACCACAATCAAATAAAACATAAAAAATCGAAAGACAAAACCCAACCAAAAGATTCTATTTCTGAGAAAAAGACACAAGCAAAACAAAAAAGAGAAAAACAAATATAAAAATTAAACAAAAGGTTGAACACAAAAAAAGACACTACACAAAGAGACCATAAAAAAATACCCCGTTCCTGATCTCACCAACCAGAGGGACGTCTTGAGCATGCTCTATCGCCGGCCTAACCCACCGCGCTACAACTACGCTTTGTGATCCACACTCTATTTTTGCCAAGAGTTGCTCTAGTCTGAGCGACTCCTAAAAAATAACCAAACTAAAGTTAAATGCTTTTGCGATAACAATTAATAACAAATCAGAACTAAAACTTAATTAACAAAAAGTAATTATATATATGAACCATAAATGCAGTATGTTAACATTTCTTAGAGCCCAAGGAACGAGCAGCAGAAGAGATGACAACCCAACTACATTCCATTTTTGTAATTGAAAATCTATTCGCTTTGCTGCCTAAAGTCACTACCCTCAAAAGATTTACAGTATGGACTCAACATCGCAGCAAAGGACAACCTCTAAACCAGACCAATTTCTATCTCGATGTTGACTACACGTACCGATCCTAGTCACATGGCACTTCACACGGAAAAGTCAAACTTCACCATGCACGTAGTCTCGCTCTAAACTTAGCGAAATCAATACATCATTGCATCGATCAGAAGTCTTGACACACTCCCCCAAGACTACCACGATCAACGAGACCCATCTTGAAACACAAATAAAACACTCTTCCTCCTTCAAACACAAACAGCCACATTTATCTTTTCTCCAAGAAGTCAATGCTCGCAACTTCAAAAAGAAACTACATCACCCGTCCTTCTCTACATCAAACAATTAAAAACTAAAAACTCTCTAAGCCCCGGATGGCTGGAACCAGTTCTACACTAGTATTTATAGACTAATTATATTTATGATGGAAAATAACTATAAAATTTTTTTTATAACTAAACAATCAAATTCCATCTCTAACATTTACACTTATTTGTAAGTGCTGAAACTACTTGTAGTTTCAGCACCAGAACAATTAAAATAAAACTTTTAATACAGTTGTTCTCCTTCTAGATAAACACCAAGAACTAACTCGCATAAACCAGTATACACTAGATCTATTGGAACCAAGAGATATAAGAGTAAGATTAAGATCGGTAATAGACTAAGAATTTGCACGAATCTATCCGGCCGAAAATAAGATAGCGTGACGAGCAGACGGTGTACCTTATCTGAATTTACTCTATGAGTATAACCAATTGGTCATAAATTATGATTTCAACAAAAACTAACATCTTGAGTTTTTTAATTTTAAGAATGGCCATTTTTGTATTTTCTTGGAAAAGTTCTGAAATTTTTGAAACGCAATAATAAGGATAATTATAAAAATTCAAATGCTTTTTTTTTCAATAAAAAACCGGAAATATTTCAAACGAGCTATTTTAAGTGTTAATATCTGTATAAAGGTGATAATTCCATTACAACAAGCCTAAAGTTAAAATTTTTACGCAACATAACAATAGATTGTCATTGTTGATTTGAAATTGTTTCCTAATTTGATGTAATTTACGTTATTTTGATGTTTTTTTTTCGACTTCACAATATGGCGGTTTGAAGATGAGGCGGTTTGTTGAATATCCACCCTGTAGAAAGTAAGGGCTTTCAATGAGACTCACCTCTTTGGCTGGGATCATTTCAGTATCGCTCTCATTACTCGAAGTAGCATCGACATCTGATGCGAAATCTGAATTCTGAAATATGTTTCACACTTTAAAAAAAGTCAGCTTTATCGTTATCTAATTCAATTTTTCAAAAAATTTGTTTTGGAGCATTCTTGCAAGATGACCATCTTTTTCTTCAAATACTGGCAAGCAAAATATAGTCTTGCTTGATCTTGCAAGATGATTATCCTTGATTTCAGAAAAAGAAGCCAATTATAATAAATGGTGCATCTAATTATCAAATTTCCTCTGAACTTCTCCGGCATTTTTAGCAACGCCCCCCCTTGTCAACTGCTTGTCAGCCAAATATATTGACGCTGATAGGTTTGTTGGCTTCTAGAAAGATTGTGACGACCGGTCGGCTAAAAATTGGAAATCATAAAAATAACAAACGTAGAAATTCGCCAAAAAAAACTAATAAATATTAAATTCCGGTAAAAATTGAATTCTATTTTGTGTTTTTAAAAGCTCTGAGTTTACTTTTTTACTAACTTCTTAAAATTATTTTGAAAGCCTCGGATAAAAATGTCGAATGACGAATTATATGTAAAATTTATCCCTTGATTATTTCGATTTTTTCCTCATTTTAAGCTTCTGAGTCACTTTTCACTCTGGTATCGAAAAAAACATAAAACTTCTTTTTACTTAGAAAAACTAATTGCTTAATGTATGGCTCAGTACGGATTAAAATGAATGGAAAAGATGTCAAACCAGAAGAGGCGAAGGAACAGGACTCCAAGCCAGACTAGTGTTCGTTTGTTCCCGTGTCGCGCCGTCAAGGACACTCTGACTCCGAGGACTCGTCATCGTTTGACTTCGTGATTCCATGATTAATCGGATATTTATTCCACACCCTCTAGACCGTTACGAAGAGCAAAACTGTTTCTTTTAATTAGCTTTACGCTCAACTAAAATTCAAGTAAATTATAAAATTAGTAACACAAAGTCATGAAAGATGGGTAAACACAAATAGATGTTTTTGAAATTTTGAAATTGGTTTTGAAAGATTAAGAAATTACATGCAAATCAGATTAACGGGACTTTAAACAGAATAACTATACGCAAGTAATTTAAAAACCGAAAAATTAAACTACAAATAGGCGCTTTGACCAAAAATCAATCAATTAAATCAACTCTTAAATGTAATTTTTTCGACCAAATATCTTTCTGCAGAAAAGAATCTTAACTGAGTTATCAAATTAAGCTGGACTTGTTTTAAACTTTTTAAATTCTTATGTAAAACATATGACGACAGATTTGAAGAACACATGAACACAATGCGCGGTTTTCGACTAGCCTGAGACAACCAAACAAAGTTTTCGGTCCGTGGAGCTTAAGTCGTTATAAATACAAAAAGTCATGGGTCTGGTTAACGATGCCCCCCTTTTGCAAAAAAAGGGGGGTAATCGTTACAAGGTATCATAGGGAAAAAGAGCTAACAAAATCCAAAGTCATTTTTCATGAAACCTAAAAACTTGATATTTACTCTGTCTAAGTAACGAAAACTCCGAAAATCCAGAAACGAAATTTCCCACAGAAATTCCATTCAGATAAATAATAGGATTCTCTTAGCAAGCTATTCATAGAATAAACTCGAAAAATATTATTACAATAATTTGATTTTTGTTGGGAAACGAAGTATAAAACTCTTGAACGTTCAACTCTTTATGTATCGACTATCAAAATCAAAAAGGGACTTCATTTAAATTGACAGAAAAAGGAAAATGGAAATTGCTCAGCCAACACCTTGAGAATTGAAAAATTGAGTGTTCAGAGTTTTACAGTAGTTGACAGCTACTGGTTATTTTGCAAGGGCTTTCAAATATCTTATAAGAGCATTGAAAATACGCATCCAAATCATTTCAAAACATTTCGATATAAACTTTGGCTACCGAGTGTGGTATGAATTATCTTAGGACATTTGCAAATTGGAATACTAGAAACATATAGAATCCATTTTTAATCCAATTTGGTTTTGCTTACATGATTTTGTGGTGTCCAAATTTTTGGCTCAAAAAATGATCAAGAGTTTTCAAACGATCCCACACAGGAGTTCCATGAGTATTAATCGATTATATTGTCATTTTATAATCAGTATCCATAAAATATAAAAAAAATAATCGTTTATAATTCATCAAAAATGGATTTTAATCCTGTATTTTCAATATCAATATAATCCTGAATAATCGAACATAATCCATTAAATATGGATTATAATCATAATTCTTTTGCTTCAAAATAATCCATTATATAATCGATTATATTCAGTTGTAATGGAATTACTAGGAGGTTATAGATCAATTTTGCAAGTTTTTGCAAGATTTGCAAGTTATCTCATTTCATGTTCAGTGCAGTTGCTACGGATTACGCTTCCTAAAATGTTTATTTCTACATAAAACTTTTACGTATAAATTTCTCGACTGTAGCAGTTTAAATTTTTATTAAACTGTTATTTTTGTGCCATCGCCATAATATAAAAAAAGGCCATTCGCCCACTACACCTCGCCCTGCCCACTACCCCGCCTTCCACCCCTCCCAGTCCACAACCCCCTCTCACCTCTTACGATGGGGGAATGATTGCTTCCCAACTTCTTTTGACAGAGTCAGTATAAATAGCTTCTATTGAATTGAATTACACAGTTGTCTAAAAATGCTTTCGATCAAATAATAATTGATTATCTAGTTTATTATGCTTTACTTTAAAGAGCACGTAGAAAAAAAACCTGTAAAAAATTGTAGCAGTGGCATAGAGACGTAAAATTTTAGGAATCAAAATGCAAAAAAATCCAATTCATCTTATGCGTTCTTGAAGGCAAGTACCTTTTTTTGAAAACCAAAATGATAAACTGTGTTGCATTTTTATTCTTAAAAACTTACCGAATATATATAACTATATCTTATGATCAAGAATATTTGTGATTTATATATATATTCAAACCGAAGGTTATCAAAGTTGATCTCAGAAATGCGCTAAGATAAGTCAAATTTTTTGTCGTTTGGTTGGAGCTTTTTCTTCTTATGTTTAATTGTTAAGTAACCAAATAACCAATTTCTTTTTTTTGTCTTATTGTCGACAATTAAAATGACAGTCTCATTTTTTTCCTCCTCCTTGATCATCGAAGCAAAAATAATAGCTTTTTAATGATTATTGGAAGCAGAAATTTTTTTATTCATTACAAGGCCGAACTGGGCACTTTGTGAACTGTAACGGGGTTCGGCAACAGGCCAAATCAGATTCGTCGCGTAAGACGCAACGTTGCTATTCTTCTTCGATCTTCTTTGCTGTTTCGAATTCCACAGACAAATATCTAAAACACTGTAATGCTCAAACTCGTTCCAAACAGAGGCAACTTTGCGGAATCTGCAACAAAACTTGTGGAATCTGCCAAAAAGTTTTGCGGAATCCGGAACAGTATGTCAACTTGAATAGTAAATCCAAGTTAATGTGGAATTTGCAACTATGCGTGGAATCCGCAAATTGTAAGTGGAATTAGCAAATTGTTAGCGAATTCTGCAAATTTTAAGCGTAATCCGCAAAATTCAAGCTGAATCAGCAAAAAATTGCTGAACCCATTTACAATTTACATATCATCGTTCGTTGTGAAGTTCGCAACAAAACTATTTTGCCGACAAAATTACTTTACAGATAGTTTTACCTGCAACCCACGGAAATTTTGTCAATGGAATTCACTTAAATTTTGGAACATGTTCAAAGACTTGTCTCTGGATTCCAGGAACATAACAGACACAAAACTGTGTTTCAATCTATTGAACAGTTTTGCCTCGTAATATTGTTGTTCACAAAACAGCTGGTGAGCAGTGTTTTTTTTTTAAATCTAAAACCATCCATCAATGAGAGAAGAAAAGAAGATAAAATAATCTTTTTTTTTCTGAAGTATTTTATTAGAAAATGCGTATCAAATGCGCACTGTTTCAAACGATTTTCAGTTGATAACTGCTTTGTTCCGTTTATAAAATCAGACTCGTAATTTTAGTCGTATATAAATTGACAAACATTACCATACTAAATTTCAAAATAGTATATTAGTTTTTGCTTAAAGTTTCAGGTGGCTAAAACTAGGATAATTTAAGACAGTCATTTTTGGATAAACATTTCCCGAAAAACTTCCAAAAATTTCAAAAAAGAAATTTTTCAAAAAAAGTTTTGTTTTCGAAAAACTTGGCGGACTTTTATCGCTCAAAATCTATTTGGAATACGAAATGTTTCTTTTCTACTGATAAGTTCTTTCATTGTTGCACCCTTTTCAATGAGAGCAGTCTCACATTCAGAAAATAGGGACCAATGAAAATGCTCATGATGGTATGCTCTGTTTGAACATCGACTGTCAATTATGATTCGTTGTTATTTCGTAGTTTATCATTTCAGCTATAAGTCAGCAAAGTTTCAGCAATGACCTAGTCCTGAAAAGTACAATTATAATGAACGCTGAATCAGCAAAACAGCAATGAATCAGCGATAAATCAGCAATGTTTGGTATATGTTTTGAGCTACTAATTTTGTTATTTTTTTTAATATCAAAAAAAGTTTTGCTGCCCGTATCCAACATAAACCTATAAACTAGATAGAGGTTTTTTATGAGTTTATTACGGATAATAAGAGTATTTGTTTTTGCATTTAATGTTTAGAAAAGCCTTAATTCTTATCTCACAGAAAATTGATTAGTTTCGTTACAAAATTTTCCGAGATAATTGTTGTGAAATGAAAATTTGAAAAATCCGAATTGAAATTTTGAAAAAACCTTTTTTGTTGTTACGAATCTTGAAATTCATAACCTTAAACAATTTTAAAGCTGCCATAAAAGCAGAAAAAACAATTTTCAAAAAAATTGCGAAAATTTATCTGTTTTTTGTAGTAAGATGGCTTGGGAGTTTCAATTTGAGCTCACAATAGGGTAAATAGCTACAAAACAATTCTTATCATTGCTCAACATCACAGCTGAAAATCTACTGAAAAATATTTAAAAGCTCGATGGTGGCGATGCTTTCTTTTGTTGCTTTTGTCCATAGATTCAAATGTTGTGTTAACACCTCAATATAACTCCTTAATTTGATTTGGACTTGATTACAAAAATATTTTTAGACAGAAATTGAATTTTCTACTGATGAGTTAGATGAGCTAAAATTATTTCATGGTCAGATTTAAAGCTCAGATTTTTTTTTATTCAACAAGTTTTATATCTTTTTGTAATTTTATTTTAAACGCTTGTGAACTGTAACAAAATAGAGTCATCACTAAATCAAAAATTTTTAGTGTTTTTCTACAGGTAATTCACGCACCGAGGAATTTTATCGCTTATTCATCGCTGGTGCATCGGTCGTTCGTCGCTAATTTTGTGGTCTTTGCAGTGCTAACTCACTGCTGAATAGTGCTAAAGTAGCACTGATCAAGGTCTGCTCATCGATGCTAAAGTATGCATTGATTCTCGTTCACTACAGAATTTTTTTGCTAGTTTAACCCAGGTTGTGGCATTATTTGATTTCATTTTTTTTTCTCGTAAATAATTTTTCCGAAAAAATACCATTAAATTTTCTTATTTTTATCTTTTATTTCATTTAGACCCAGCAAAATGATTTTGTTGGAACAATCTGCACAAGTAGCGCAGGAATTTGCCATGTTTGATTGAGTTCAAATTTTGAAAATAAAATGGATCTTTCCAAGGAGGTGATATTCAGGTTTTTGTTGTTTGCTTATATATATATATACAACAATGCACCATACCAAATAACATTACCTTTAGGACTCTTAGGATATTGTGAAACAGATGCAGCAACTTCGCCCACAAAAGAAGTAGCATATCAAGTCAACAATATATGAAAATTTTAGATATATGTCAATCAACAAATCTTGATGAAAAATTATCGATAAATAATATAATAATTAAC